GGAAGATGTAGCATGTTTCCGGATGTGGTTGTTGTTGTTGTGATAGTGGTGGGGTACCGTCGGCGGGCCCGGACGCTCCGCCTGATGGGGGAGGGGGGAGGGTGAGTTGGAGGAGGATGTGGCCGCGGCAGGTGGAGGGGCCGGGGACGCCGGAGAAGATGGTGGCGGTGATGGGGATGTCGGGGCCGAGGGTGGTGTTGCCGGTTGGGTCGCCGTTGATGGTGACTTGGCCGGGCGTGTCTTCGATGATGTCGACGCCGGCGGGGAGGTTTTCGAGGGCGAGGGTTTGGTGGGGGGAGGCGGAGAAGAGGAGGAGGATGGCGAGGGAGAGGAAGGGCGGTTGAGATCGCATGGTGGGTTGTTGGCGGCTGCTCTGCGGGAGTTGGTACCTTAGCTCCCTTCTTGTGCGCGGCGCGAGGAGCAGAGCGGCCGAAAGAGTCAAGGTTCGTTTTGGTTCCTCGCCTGTTCGTATATGAGCGTGGAAACACGATGAGAAGGGTGGAATTCGTGGGATGTCTCGTCGCCTCCGACGTGGTGTTGAGCGCCAAGCATTTCCGAGTTTCACGATGCTGCAGCTCCATGCTTCAGATCGAGGAGTCCTCCCGCAAAGCTTCATCCCGGAACCAGGTCCGTGCGCCGGTTGTTCAGTAAAGATCCTCAGACGTGTCAGGCATACAGATGCAAGAAGCTCGAAGACGTGGAGGGGCAAGTCTTGCCGATACCATCCGATGCCTGGACCGCAACCGCACGCGGTTTCTCCGTTTCAACTAAGTTGGAAACGGACCACCGATGTAAGCGGCATTCTTAAACCATCTCTCGGCTATTCCCGTGTTGCGTAACCAAGCTACCAGGGCTTTTGCTCCCCGTGTGCGGCTGTCGCTCAAGTTAGCTCGGAGTAGCCGACTGGGTCTCAGGGGCCAACTCATGTAACACACGGACGCGAGTAACCACGCATCTAGCATGCTTACTTTGACGGCTTAAACACCGTCCTTGCACCGAGAAGAGTAATTTCATGGTTTCCTTCCGTGCCACATACTAGCAACATACCGTCCTACATGCATACCCACCCATGCACACAAAATCTCCTGGTCCACGACGGCCAAAAGCCCGTCTTACGGTGTGCTGCGCGCCGAGGTCAGAACCGGTGTAATCCAACAACCGACTTCCTCAACCTCCACCGTCATTCCAGATAAGTGAAGGTGCATCATCGACTCGAGACAAGACTTCAAGACTGTCTGAGTCCCGGCAGCTTTCACGCGGTGCCGGCTCCAGCGTCCTAAAGAGTCTTGAAAGTGCTTCTGAATAAGACAGCAACACTGATATGTCATGCTAGAAATTAGCGGTAGGTAAAGAGATATATATGTCTATGATGCAAACCGTAACCTGCCATGCCGGGTATCGTCCTTCCATGCTCCCGTCATCCCTACCCTCTAACCCATCTATCGCATTACATATCCCACCAAACGCCACCTATATATCGCACCAGCCCTCGACCACCATCATCTATCTCCCAGCGACCTTCGTAGGCGCCCAATCCCCCAACCAGCCCCTCGCCTTCCCCAGATTCCCCCCTTCCGCCTCCAGCGCCGCAACGCACCACTCCAGCTCCCACGCCCCCTCCGCAGCCATCATCGCGGCCGTCTTCTTCCTCCGCTGCGACACCTCATCCACACAGAAGCGCATCGGCTTCTCGTGATCCGCCAGTTCCCCCAGCAGCGGCTTCACCAACGGTAGCGCGGCGGCGGCGGTGCCACCCCACTGCTCCAGCCCCTGGTTCGCGCGCCCCGTCTTGCACCACTCGTTGGCGCACCACTTCCTGCCGCACCCGGCCATGAGCTGGGCGAGGTAGCGGCGCTCGATGCGGCGGCGCAGGGCCTTGCCCTCCGGGTCGTACATGTTGACGTACAGGGGCGCGAAGCACAGGCTGCAGAGGCCGAGGTCGTTGCCGGGGCCCTGGCCCATGCGGGTGCCGCCATTGACTTGGCCGCGGGGGCCGATGCCGTGCAGGGTGCGGCCGCAGAGTTGGTCGCGGCAGATTTCGGGGGCGGCGCGCGCGGCCTTGTCGAGCTCGTGGTTGGCTGAGTGTGCTGCCATGTCGCGCAGCCGGATGATGGCGCCGCAGAGGTGGCAGTCCGTGGTGCGCGCCCCGTCCGCGCGCTCGTGCGCCGTCAGCCCGGTGATTGCTGTCTCTGCCTCGGAAGAGGGGTCCAGTGGGTCGCCTTCCTGTGGCACTTCGAGGTGGCAGAACTGGCAAAGGATGAGTTTGCTAGGGCAGACTGTCGTGCGGTGGCGGGCCAGTTCCGGGAGGGACGGGAATGTGAAAGATGTGGATGGTCCGCAAGATTGGCACATGTGTTGTGTGTGTTGGACAAAGTCGTGCTTGGCCTTGTTTTGGCGGCCCGAGCCATAAGCATCCGGGTGGGTTGTGCAGTGCCAGTGGTCCTCCCATTCTTGGGATCGTTTCTGGAAAACGTTCTTGCACTGCGGGCAGATGATATTGTTCCTGAGACAGAAATTCTCGTGAAGCATCATTGTCCGTGTCGGTATTATTTGCAGGCAGTTCTTGCACTGCTCTTCATCTGCGGACGGTTCTGGGTTGCCAATTTCGATTGGGGCGGCAGAAGAGCCTGGGATGTCGGCTGCTCTTGCGCGGAGTGTGTAACGACATGGTTTTGTTGCTGTTAGACCACCCTCTAAACCGGAGAAACCGTGTACAGATACCATCAAGCTCTCTGCGCCTTCAAGCTCCGAGCTTGTTGGTTCTATGAGAATGCGCTTGACCCCGTCCTTTGGGGAAGAGAAGTCGCCGAATGTATGTTCGATGTCTCGAGGTATCGCCCGTTGCCTGTTAGTCTTGGGGCTCACGAAGAGGTCAACCTCACGGCCGTCGTGTAATATCAGTTCAATGACAATGGCGCGACTCCTGTCCCATGAGGGTAGCTCGTAGTCGACATAGTCTCCTTCCAAGACTCGGCCTTCAACCTCCTTCCAGATATCCATCGCACCCCCAACCGAGCTAGTCGCGGCGGTCTCTGGGCGGCGTTGTCCTTTGGCGGCGATTTGGCGCAGTGTTTCTCTCGCCTGGTCTTCATTCAGCGGCTCGATGTCCGTCTCGAGGTCCGTATCAATCACACAAATACCGTCTCCTTCGGGGAGAAACTTGTCTGCCAATAAACGGAATTCCTCGCCTTTTGTACCCTGAATCGATATGGTAGAGCCCTTCGTGAGGGTAGTGAAGTTCCCGCGGAGTTGTCTCTCCAACAAAGGCTTCCAATCGTCGGGGTTGTAGCCAGCCTCCAGGGGTCGTAGTCGCACATAAGTTCCTGCAGGAAGCTGCGTCGCCTTCACTGTAATTCGAAGCCCCTCGTCCGTATTTTCATCGCCCTTGTCGGACCGAGAGTCCGAAATACGATCATCCTCTTGTGGGCCCTCTTGTATATCCAACTCTTGTATCCCCAGGGCTTCGCGAATGTGAGGACTCAAAGCAACTTCTCCTTCGCTAGCCGAAAACTCGCGAATCCCGGCATAGACGGTCTTCCCGGTTGCCGGGTTGGCCAGTTGAAACATTAGCGGATGAGGTAGTTCTTGAGGGCGCTCTTGTTGCGCATGAGCCGCAGCGTAAGGATTTGACGGTTCGGATGCAGGGAATATAAATGTAGACTTCCAACCGTTGGTTCCCGTGGAGGAAGCAAGCAGCTGCTCGAGTGCGGACTGCGGCAAAACGATCTTGTCTCCGCGTAGGTCATTTGCTGCCGCGCGCGACGGGCGCACAGGGCGGAGAGTAGCTGACCAGCTGATCATCTTCGATGGATGCCTTTCCAATCAGTCGGGGAGCGGTCGATATGGAATGAGAAGATGAAGATAGAGAGGGAGGTTTTTCGTGGTGGTTCAGGTCGTCCAACAGAGCACGAAACGGTTGTTCCGATCAGTCAGCCATCTTCTCGGCGCTTCCGTGACATCATCCCTTCGTCGCCTGATGGCCGCCAAGACCATGACAAAAAGGTGGGGCAACTCAGCCTCGCCTGAGCTTCGAGGCTGACATTCTCATCGTTTGGCTGTAAAGAACGAGATGGAAAGAAAGAAACAAGACAGCATTTTGGGATCATAAGCTGGAGACCCTGTGGCCTGCACCAGGTGACCCCCGTCTCATACATAACCCCAACCCTGGCTCGCGCACCTCTTTTTCCCCTCCCCCACCCCAAACTAATAGCCAAGCGGCGGTGTTATTACCAACGTTAAACCCCACTTTGTGCTGCTGAAGTGGCGGGGCATGTGTGGGGGCACCAAGCACCCCGCACTCAGGTCGGACCTGAGCTGCTGGTTGCCAGATGCCAGAGACCAGAACCAACGCAAGCAGCTAAACCATAATAAGATAAAGGCCAAGTAGTGGTTGCCCATTCTCGCGCCAGCAACACGTGTTCAGGGCGTCTTGTCGCCTTGCTGCACCATTGCAGCCATCCGACCCAGCCAAGAGCTTGTGCGACTCCCGTCTGATTAGCGACCAGCCAACGAGGTCGGGTGTTACCCCACGCTGCAGCATTGTCGACACAAAGATTGGGGTCAGGAAGCGGGGGGGCGAGGAGCTCTCCTTTTAACGTTAACGCTAAGGCCGGTTAAACACTGTCTTCTCACCTCTGTCGCCGCCATGCCGATGGCTCAAGCAGAACCTACGGATGTTGCCGATTTTGTTGCTTGGACGAGAAAGGTGCTAGTCGGTTAGGTTGTCTCTAGCAAGGCGAGACTCGTCTGTCCTTCGCCCGTACATGGGGTTATTTGTTCGTCGGAACCTCACTGCCTGTCTCCAGCAAAGCATCCCCACCACGCGAGCGTGCTTTGGTGCGAGGGTGCCCAAGCTTCCCCAATCTGCAACACCACACACCCCGGTTTCGCCGATCCGTCCGGCTGTCCCCCGTCTCGCTTGGCCCACATCCCGTCAGGGCCGTCCTGTCAGACATCGGACTTGGTATCCGCACTTCCCGTTCTGGTACCACCAAGAACAACTCATCACCAAATATAATTGTCTTCGGACCCATCCGTTCCCCGACCTCCGAGCATCACCTTCATTCTTTCACCTTCACCCAGACAGGTCACTCCAGGAGTTACAGACCACACGGCACCCCGCCTTGCACCATTCGAGGCCTTGTGCAATACGATGACCCAGATCTCTGAGTCTCACAACGCTTTGCCCGTCAACATTCAGCACTCCGCTCTACTACAACTCCTCGCCAACTCCCTCGTGCTGTCACAGACAGCACCCTACCTCTCTTGCTATGATGTCCTGAATCTTGCAGCCACCGCGCGGGCTTTCCGCTTCCTTATCTATCACACCCCGAACGTCTTCCGACGCCTAGAATTAGGCAATGTCAAAACTGCACAGTTCGATACCCACGCCGTCGATCGCGGCGGGGAGACCTGGCGCAATGTCCAATTAGATGAGAACTTGACCGAGGACGAGTGAGACAGCTTTATTGATTCCACCTTGACAATTTGTCAACCCTGCGAAGTACCTAACGCTTATTTGCAACAGTTTCTACTCGGGCCCCCTTCGTGGCATATTCTCCAACCTCCGCCGCGCCGATATCCTGAGGGACGTGCAGGTCCTCTCCCTCGACGGCCTTTCCGTCACCGCCGAACTAGTCCATGACATTCTCAACGACCCCTCTTTCTCTGTTCGTATTTTGTCGATCCGCGGCGTCAAACACCTAAACGAGCGGCAGCTCCGTGGCGCGTTGCAATATGCCTGCCGCCAATCGAGGCCCGAAGGGATGCCACGGGTGAAAGGACTGTACATCTTTGGACCGCCAGATACAACACCGACGTTGACGCACCGGGAGGAAAAGCGCGGCTCCGCTCCGACCACCACAGCGGCAACGGCCGCTGTTTGGAACGCAAAGAGTCAGGAAGCGTTGACTGTCTCCCTTGCCGAAGAGCCAGAGGCATGGTATGCCCGCCGGGGTGGCCAGTTTCCGGGCCGTATCCACGCTGACTGGGCGCACACGCTCAATGCCTGTGCCGGCATCATCTCATTCGACTCTGTCCTATGTACCGGCCCACGACACTTCAACTCTCCCGGCTGGGGAACCGTCAACATTGAGGCTCTCGATAGTGCCCCTTCCACAGGGGCACCAAGCATTCCTCACTTTGCTGTTGCAACCCATAGCCTGAGCGGGTGTGCGTCATGTGGCTCGGCACCAGAGGGCTGGACTGTGTGGGGGCAAGAACTGCTTACCTCCCAGCGCGATGCTGACGGGAGGCGGACGAGTGAGAGCTGCATGGCCGACCTGGCCCGGTTCCCCTTGCTGGCTCCTCCACCGATGCACTCGGCAAGCCTCCAGGTTGCCATGTGCCCGGCTGGCCAGACTGTGAGGTCGCGCCTGCCGTTCATACCGACCGGGAAGCAACAGGCGGCGCGTTTTATTCCACGATGTTTCGACTGCATCCGAGACCGCTACTGTGGAGGGTGCCACAAATGGTGGTGTGAGTCGTGCTACATTGGACCCCGGGCGTCGTCCCCCGGAGAGCATGCAAGAACACATTCCGGGCCTAACTCTGTAAGCAACCCCATTTCCAGTACTAGTGTGGTGAGCGTGGACAACAGTGCAGGGTCAATATGCACCAGAAACGGAGTTTGCACGGACGGGGGCTGTTCACTCCCGCGACACTGAAGGGGCAGAGCCCCTGTAGCAGGTTGAAACGAGCCGGCGAAGGCCGACCGCCGTCCCTAGCGTAGGACCCGGTTTTGATACACCAAGCCGAACAAGCCGTTTCGTTAGCAGATCTCTCCACAACCAGGGTTGCTCAAAGAGTCCAGGTCCCGTGGATGGGTTTGCGCTCTTACTGGGGCGGTTTTGGAATGTTCGCCGAACGCAGCTTTTACTCCGTTCCAGCATGGATGCTGATTGAACTGTTCCTAGGTTCATGTGTCCAAGAGCTGCTGGGAGTGTGGCATGAACGTAAGCCGTCCTCATCGCAGTGAGGTTGCGACCACAAACTAATGTATACCAACATTCAGTGCAAAGAGTGCATCGACCGCACTCAACGCACATGCAAGAGGTGCAGCGGCGGCTACTGCCTAATCCACAACGAAGGCTCAAACATGGTCGCGGTGAGTCTTCATCCACACTAGGAGTTAAACGCCGCCACTAACAGAGAGTACGATATCTAGTGTGATTGTAAGCCCCTCAAGCTCTTCCGCTATTACCTGTTGTGACCTGTATCGTTGCTAGTTGCTAACACATCCTCGGCAGGGTGCGCAGGAAGAAGCAGGGGCTATATCCGGGACTTCTACTGAGCAAACCGCGCGATTCACGGCCGCGGCGCTCATATCGTTTCCGACCGCCCAAGCAACCTCCTTCCTCCCTTATCAACACAGGCTTCCAGACTCCCCGCACATTGGTCCACCCCTTTGCGAGTCTCCAAGTTCAACTCTTTGGACAACCTCTCGCTAAACCCCCCTCTTCGTTGTCAATTTTTACTGCGATGGTTCTAGGTAGCGCGCATCTCCCTTACAAAGGTTTTTATTCTGGAACGGGTCCTGCTGAGCTTGTCCGGCCCTAAAGTACATCGATACCCCTACTCAATTCAATAAGACATATATCTGAACTTGCCCTGACAACATGGAGCTATATTGTTTTGGTTGCCCTACACTACCTTTTTCTTTTCCCTTCTCGTCTCCAGCACCAGATTGTGGGTTGCCTAAGGCCCCAGGACTCGCAGAATGCCAGAAACACCTACAGCTGGAGTTAACCTATTCCAGCCATTTAATACCATGGAACGTAGGTAGGTATTTAGCCCTTATCAAAGACATCTTG